AAGTGAGTTGCCGTTTGCCTGTGTTTTTTCTACTTGTATTTTTTTTATCAGATGTACGTCGTAATGCTCCCGTTGAGTTGCCTCATATTATGGTTCTCATTGACGATTCGGAGAAGACCGTTTTGGAGCCACTCCTTGCCAAGAAGAACGAACTCAAGCAGGTGTATGACTTTGACCTGATGGAGAATGGTGGCCATCTTTCCGGCTGGTGGGTTGACGGTGAGAGCTCGCAAAGTGCCGAGGTTGCTAAGGCTCTCAATGTGATTGCTGAGCCTGAGCGTTTCCACAAGCTGTATGCTGCTCCTGAGGATAAGGAGCCTCTCATCTTCGCAGTTGGTGATGGTAACCACTCCTTGGCTACTGCTAGGGCCTACTGGCAGGAGATCAAGGCGACTCTGACCGATCCGAAGGAGATCGCTACTCACCCCGCGAGATTTGCCTTAGTTGAGATTGAGAATATACATGATGATGGATTGGCCTTCGAAGCGATTCATAGGCTAATATTTGATGCTCACGGAGGTAGCAGAAAATTTATCGCAGAAATGACGGAGTTTTTGGAGAAGGAAGGCTGTGGCCCAGTGACTGTCGGCGAGAGCGAGGAGGATTTCAAGAGAGCCGTCCAGGGTGAGGTCTCTGGCCACAGTTTTGGCTATGAGGTTGATGGTGTGAAGGGCGGTGTTTTTATTGCGAATCCTAAGAAGGTCTTGGATGTTGCTACTGTGATGGACTTTGTGGATCCTTATATGGAGAAAAATGAGGCTAATGGGACTAAGATTGATTACGTGCATGGTTTGACAGCAATTGAGAGGTCAGTGTTTGGGCGTGATTTCATCGAGGAGTGGTATCAGAATGTTGCACGCATGCACATGAGTTCTTTGTCAGGTACTGCTCGGCTGGTACGGCCAACGTTGGTATTGTGCTTCCCGATATGCACAAGTCGGATCTTTTCAAGACTGTTGTTCACGACGGTGCGTTACCTCGGAAGACCTTCAGCATGGGAGAAGCTGACGAGAAGCGATTTTATTACGAGTGCAGGAAGATCCGCAAGGACTGAGATCTGCCGCTGTCCCATGTGAGAGGAAATTATTCATAAAATTGTCTATTCTAGCTATATGTAGATTGTACTCACTCATCCATCCTGTAGTTGCAAACTTTTTTCTGCGTTTACTAGGAGGTCCTTGTCATCATTAATGCTGTGTGCTTCGTGATGTTATTCACCTGCTGAATCGTCGCTATCACTCTATGGTAGGAGTATTTTTTATAGTTGATTTATCATCTGTCAAGACTATAGTGTCAGTGTTGTGATGGTATGTGGTAGTAGGCGTAAAGCCGAGTTTATCGAGGTTGTGGCAGTTTCATGTGAAGTTGAGGCGTTCGTTTGAGTTTTCACGCGAGTATGACAACTATGTGTTGGTTCATATAGCCACCAGCTGGGAAATGGAAGGATG